GGAAAAGACAGGAGAAAAAGGTTCTCAAAGTGAGCTTCCACAATATACAAATAATTCAAGCTATTTCAATGAGCATTTCTTGTTGCTAAGTGCTTTACCTCCTTGAAAAATAYTATAGTCACAAGATTAAAAGAGTTTTTTTCTGATTTTTTTTTCTGAAATTTAAGTCAAGTGAAAAAAAAACCTCCACCTGGAGGATCTGGGGAAGGCTGAGAATGACATTGTGATGGGAGCATTTGCCCAATAGATGGGGTTCATATCTCTTCAGTGTAGAGATTACCACAGGCCCCTCTCACATTYGGGGTGACTGCTTTGTAGGTGTCTGACTGTGAAGAACATCTCTTTGAGTCATATTAACAAGAAAGTTCCTCACTTCTGGTCCCCAGTGAAATGCAACATGTCAAGTAACCCTTAACCTTCTATGTATAATAAAATGCAGTTGCCAACTTTTATCTCTGGTGAGAAAAAGCTACAAGTGCCCTTATTTGACTAAACAGAGGGTTCTATCTCCCCATTTTTGATTTGTTTCCCTTCACCACCACAGCCCTTCTTTGGGGTCTGTGCCCGTTTCTTAGGGAACATGATCTCACAATAAATTAGTAAGAGTTAGTTCCTAAATCCTTAAGTCATCTATAAAAATAGGATTTGTACTCACATATAGATCCGATACTTTTGACTATTGTATGTAACAAGAGTTCAAACAATTATAGCAGCTATGAGAGGTAGAAAAGTTTAAGCACTCAGGTGATTACATTCACTTTAGTCTGTGTTTGTAATATCAGTTCAGTTACACTCTTTGGCCTGGACAAAAGGAAATAAATTTCTGTAGAAAGCATTGCTATATGAATATTCTCCCCAACAGCAGAGTGGAAAGATACTACGAATTACATGCCTGCATTTAAATAAACAGTATCTGCTGTATATTAAGCAAATTGCAGTCTAACCTATCAGAAACAACTGTGAAGTGTTTTGAGAGAGTCCAGTTGTGGTTTCTCCCATCTGTGCCAGGAGTATTTCAAAGTGCTGTCTTCTGTACAAAAATTACTGAGGGGAACATGCAACTTAAGAAAAAAAAAAAAAAAAAAAGAAAGTAGAACAAAACACTGGGGTGTGTATGTGAACATTAAAATACGATTCAAGATAGTTTTATGTATTCTTAATGGAGGAAAAGAAGAGAAACATATGCCTTAAAGGATAAGGTGAAAACCTTATCTCTGAAAGTGTTGCCACTCATGAAGACATATGAGCGGGTATGGAAGCTAGCCATACAAAAGTAGACTCTCTTCCTAAACGGGCTAAGCATGAGGAGAGAATATTTATGGTCTCCAGGGTCTTCCCCTGAAAGCAAAAATTCCAATGAGATAAAAATGGCCTATTTCCATTAGCAGAGGAAATGACTTGAGATGCAAATTTAGGATCTGCATACAAGCTAGATTTTCACTAGTTCAAGGATGTTCACACTCAAGCATATTTAATAGCAGAGAGAAAAGTTTTACCAAAATTCAAATCAGGTTATAAACTATAGACATTACTGTCTGGATGTATTTTTGTCCAAAAAATGCAAAGCTGATTTTAGATACATTATGTATGGAGTAGGAGTTTTGGAAGAGAAGGGTAAGAAAAGCCTCATTGATTCAAACACAAGGTTTGCATGTTCCTTCTTGTACTGATCATGCTGCAGGTGACATCAGTTTGGAATTTGTACATTTAAATCTGCGCTAAGACAGTAAYACAGACTGATGTGTGCTAGAGGTCGTGCTGAAAACGCAGTTCTAGTATAAAGCTGAGCGATGGGATTTGTCTCTGGTCTATATTTCTGTACATGCTGCATACACACATCTGTCACCTCCTTGGCACATGAGGTCGATGCCTTCATGAATGAGGTTTATATATTCGAATAACCATCACTGATTATTATAACAATTATATTTCTAAGCAAAAATGATTATTTTCTATAGCAAGTACGTGTTCTTCAGTTTTTAAAATGAATCTTCAGAAGCTTATCTTTGTGGTCCATGGATGAAAGATATCTCATGGATTCATGGGATAAGACGCTATGAGTCTTTTTGCACTAAGGAGAAAATTCTATTCAAAAAAGAGGGAAAAAAAAGGCTTCAATTTTTTCTTTACAAAAATAAAGTGAAAAACTAGCATGAATTTAAAAACTCAACAAAATATTTTAGCTCCTATTTCTTATAACCCAATGTGCATTGTTGACAGGGAATTTATGGGGAAGTTAAAGGAAAGTTAAAAACAGGTGATAGCCTGTATATATGCARCAACTTCAATATAACAAAATACTTTTGTGGCAATGCTCCATGGCAAAGGGCGTTAGAGAGCAGCATCAGTTTGCATTTGACAAAGTGAGGTCTGTGAAAACTCTCACAGTCTTACTGGTATTTGACATAGGACAGAGCTAAGAYTTGTTGAGTCACAGGGAAATGTAACATTTAAATACCTGCTACCTGCAGAATGCACCAGTGTGGCCCAGAGCTTTGCTGGGCAACAGCAGGAGGGGGTGCGTGGGCAGAGGTCACAAAGTTTTCTTTAGCATTATATAACCATTGAAAAAATAACAAATGTAGATACTTCATGGGGTTTGGCTTCTTTAACTACCCTTCTTGCTAGAGTGTTCCTAGAGGCCTGCATTTGGAGTAGGCAGATTAAAGAAGGCCTTGAAATATTACTAAGACAAACTCCAGACAAACCCTGAACTGATTGGCAACAGAAAAGTAAAACCAGAGGTCATGGTCCAAATGGTGCACACATGTGTGTGCATATATGTGAGTGTATAGATAAATAATACTGCCTTTCTAACACACTTTTTGCCTAGCATTGCCAGGTTGACCTGGGTGCCCAAGCTTTAGCRGACGAGTTTGCAGAAGCAGAAATTTAAACACAAAAGTTTAAGCATGCTCAGATGTGGCAGGATTCAAAATAGAGCCTCAGCATATCTTAGAAGCCATCTCCAACAGCCAAGACATTGACACTGCAGAAGACTGTAGAAGACTAAATCCAGGTAAATGAATCAGAAAGATTCAGCATTGGTATCAAAGTGGGTAGGTGAGTTTGTAGATGTATGTTTTTGGGACCGCGATTTCCAAAGACAGGTAAAGAAGTAAGGTATCTCATTCCTATTGAGTTTTTCATGGAGACAGGATCTTGCCTGCCCCAGATGCTTTTTCTAAAAGATAAAATAAAATGAAGAGCACTTTGTGTTTTGAGCTGCAGAACAATGAAGACTATGTGAGTGCAACTAGTGATAATCTTACCCACAAAACCCAACAACACTAGAAACTCYGGGCTGAGTGGAAGTGGAAGGAGCAAAGACCCAGAGACCTGCAGAAAGAGTAGAGAAGAGCATCAGGTGTGGAAAATCTCACCAGAAAGCAGGATCGTCACAGTCAGTGACCGAGCTCTATCTCATGTGCCTCAGAGAAGAGACGATGGAGCAGACACTTAGTGCCGCCTGCCTTGCAGWTCTCCAAACGATCAGGAAAGAAACAGGGAACTCGTGCCCCAATCCATGAGTTACTTGAGCTTAAGCCTGAATTGCCACCTGCAAAAACACGTTATAGCAGCATGATCCCATGAGAAGAATTAGGCACACACTGAAATAATTCGTGGGAGGAGACGTCACTCTTGACTCTGAAATTCAAGGCAAGTTTGGGAGGAGGAATAGAGCTTTCTACAGTTGGAAAAGGAGCTGGAAAAACAGTGAGCTGAGGGAAGAGGGTAATGTTCAGGCCTCAAATATTCTTTGGGAAATGAAGGGAAAGGCTCCCTGGCAGAGCACTTAGGTGTCTGCCAGAGTCTCTTTCTCACAAGATGAGTTGAATTCAAAAAAATATTCCAGCAATCCTGATCTTTGAACTTTAAATTGGTATTAACCAATTTCAGCTCTAATTCTCTCTCTGAGGATTGCCTCTCTCTTCCTCTGCTATCAATTCACAACTGCAAAGAAGCAACAGCTGGAAAGCTTTCAAATGAATTATATTCCCTTGGGGGCAGAAATCAATGCTGAAGAACAGGATCTCCCTACAGGCAGCCTTGTCCAGCTGGGATWGTAAGTGATGTAGGTTATCAAAGCCTGATCCCAGCTTATAACCCATGGAGGGTTTTCTCCCTAAACCTATGAGAGCAATTTGGCTGTTAAATGTAATCTTAGATTTTATGGTCTGAAATGCTTAGAAATTCAGGGGCTTGTTATGCTTCGGAATTTTGATTCAGCTGAACATTTAAGTAAGTACTTATCCTTAAGCACCAAATAGCCCCCAGAAGACAATAGTAAATCTACACAGTTGTGCTAGATACAGGCTGGAGCTCTTGCTCAAAGACAACCTGCCTGATCAGATGATCTTGCCTGCATCTTGTCTTGCATGAAAACTTGAGTGTGGAGCAAGACAGCTGACTCTCTAAACAGAGAAACTGAGGATGGATGGGGTAGAAATCTGCTACTCCCCATTTACCAGATTATATATGTGCAAATGTTTTGCACTCAGGATGCAATAAACTCAGTCTCAGCTCAAGCAACAGGGTCTACATACCTACCAAAAATCTTAAGTTTTCTGCTGAATCATGGACTGCTGTGTATCTTGTGCCTGGGGATAACTGTCGATATTCWAGTACAACATATGTTCTCTGCCATGCAAATCCCACGCTCCTCTGAGGGATTCTTCTTAACTATTGGACCTCTTTCTCATCTTAAAGCGTTCATTTTTTTCATTGAAGCACTGACAAAAATAAAATTAAATTAAATTTAAAAAAAAAAGCAGTCACAAAGTCATTAGTGAGCTTGGTGAAAATTATGGTTCTTCTCCCTTTTCATAGTAAAAATTGTTAGCCCTGGTAGTCCTGCCTGTGAGTGGAGAGAATGGGCCTGTCCAGAACTGAACTACCTATTAAAATGTTCACAATAATTTTATATACCTTGTATAAAATGAATATCACACATAAATTCTAATACTCAAAATTGAATAATACACAGTAATAGGGAGCAAGTTACATATATGAGTTTGCAAACATTAATATTATCTATTCAGCTTAGTCTCTTACTATGCAGGTTTCTGCAATTGCTAGCTACACTACATTTTAGGAAGCCATAACAAATGTTGGTCATGCAAAAATCTGAGAAGAAACAAGAACACAAATATTCTCCACCATCCCTCCAAATGATACACTTTTTTTTACAGATATCTTACTAATATAGTGGTTCCATGAAATTCCCTACAATTGCCTAATATTAAGAATAGAGTTAAGAAAAGAAGTTCATCTGTTTTAGACTAACTCAAAATTGGACCAGGAGCAACAGGTTGTCAGCACTGTGTGCACACACAACAAAAGCAGAGACAGGAAAGGTCCTATCTGTGCCTGGATTGGAACAGTGGTTACCTAGAATAACCTGAGGATAGGGGCAGCATTGCTAGCAAAAGGAGGGAGAGGGGGAGAAAAGAGACTGGGCACAACCCCGGTTAAAACTCTTGTTGCAGTTTGAAGAAATAGTCTAGTTTCTGTAGCTTGTTTTTGCTAGCACAGTCCTCGGAAGCAGTCACTTCCCTCAAAGGTGAGCAGCAGCATGTGGGAACTYTGCTTGCAACAGCGAACTACAGCTAGTGCTGCTCCCTGCACGTGCAGGACAGAGTTTGTGGTTTGTGGCATTAATGGCACATGAGTTCTTTAAATGTTCATGATCTGTGTCCTAACAAAAGTATATCTGCCAGGAATTTATCATTAAGGAACTGGGTGGTTTCAGGAAGGAAAACATCACACTCAATTCTCTGACTCAACTTTAGCTTGCGCTACTGAATTAGAAAACCTAGATCCTGCCCTGCAAATTTGCTTACACCTTATATCATGCCACTTTTCTCATCTTGCAAAGAGGTCCGTGAGGAGGATCTTCCTAGCAACAGCTCCTTCTCATGGATCAGGCTATCTAGCAGGTCCTCCTGTCTGTAGTTGTGATAGACCTTCAGGAAAGCCAGAATGGTAATTCCCAGCCAAGTCAGCCAGGCAGCCCAGAGGCCGAACTGGAGAAGAAAAGAAATAGTAAAGAGGTCAGTACCGTTTTGTAAAGTTGAAGTCAACTTTACAAGTGAATATCAGAACTCAACCAAATCAACCAATCAACCAAATCAACCAAAACTCAACCGATATCAACTCAACCAAAAGCCATGTAGCCACCCCAGCTTCCACCCAGTGAGATCTTGGCCCCACAGTTTCTCCTATTCCTAGCTTATAGGAAAACACCTTTATTTACTAGGAAAAAAAAAAAAAGTACTAAAGACAGAAATAAAGATTTATATATAATCCACCTGCTGTCCCATTTTGACATTCTGGGCATCCCAAAGTCCTTAGACTGTTGCAATTTAGTTTACTTGCTCTGGAATTGCATTATGTTTTAAGACACTTTCAAAATATTCCTAGGAATTTTGGGCTTCACCACTACCACTTGCAGAAGTATAAATTTTAAGGCACTTCTATTCAAAATAGAATAGAATAGAGAGTCCTGTAAAAAAAAAWTTTTGTTACATTCCAGGGTTACTAGTTACGAGATTGATTGAGAGAGCAAGAGAAACTCAGTCCAGTGCATCCAAATGCCTGTGGCTATTTTATATGTGATATGTGAGAGCTCAACTAAATTCCCATCTCCAAAATCTCCTATCACTAACTGATCGATCTCTCTTGTTTAACTTCATAGAAATAATTACACTTTACTGGTAAAGATACTTGAATGTGGGCCTCCCATGTCTCAGAGGACATTCATTTGTAATATGGGCTTCTGTCAGAAAATCCACTTTAGTTCTGTTATGCTTTTAGTAAAGAAGCACTAATTGAATCCCTCTATTTCAGTTTTGACATATTGCACTTTTGATTAAGGAAAAAAAAAAGAAAGCAATTTAAACACTTTTTTTTAACACTTCCAGACAGTAACACAGATGTGTACTCTAATAGCCAATTTGTACAACCATTCGCACTGTTTTTAAAGGGAGTTTATGTTCCTACATATCTTATGCAGTATGTCAAATCTCCTAAGTAGTTCTGCCCATTGTTACAGCTATCTCAGTTCACCAGTAAAAATATTCTTGAGTTATTCCACAAACTCTCTGTGTAAGAAAATATTCATTTGGTTTTATATGACAATATATAGATATATAATACAGAGATACAGAGATATAATATGTGTATATATAGACAGAGAGAGGATAGGATTGCACTCATTTCTTAAGCACTAGTTCATTAATGTGATGTAATCTTAAAAATATTCTGATATCTAATATTGCTGTTACTCTTGCTGTTATTCATATCATTGCTGATATGAAAAAAGTTGAACAGATTTAGTCAAATTCAGGGAAACTTCCAGAGGTCTTCTGAGGTRAAGGAAATATCAGATTGGAGGGAAATGCTTATCCGTGTCTGTGAGCATTTGTGTGTRCATACACACATATGCGGTAATTAAAGTGCCTGTTTTTTGTTCAGGTTTCCTTCAGAGTCCATCTTTGCAACTCCTTAAATTGTAAACAATCTTGACACCTCCACTCAGAACACTGCTTAGTGAGTAAAGTCTGCTGCAGGAAACCATTGCTTTCACAAGGAAGTATATTTTTTGGCAGAAAGTTTAGCCTGTTCTTGGGTTTCTCATTCTACCTGATTCAAACAAATTGATTTGCATTCCATGGGCAAATCCATTCTCCTGTCATCATTCTGTTCTGCTTACCACATCCCAGATGCTAGAAGACAACCCTGCAGGATTTGTACCCTGCTTGGTTCCCTTCTATAACAATCTCTCTCAAAGCTTCCTTTTGAGAGAGATGGTTCCAGAGACCCTTACCAGGGTCTTTTGAGACCCTTACCAGGGTCAAGTCCAACAGTRCATGGGTGTTTTTCTCATATGCAGGTGTTTGCTAAGGTTGCAGGAGCACAGGCTGCACCTTGCAAGCTAGCAGCACCCATGAATTCAAAGTTATGCCTCGTATAAGGTTCAATCCTCTTCTCTTTGCACTGSCTGGCAGATTACTCCTGGCAAAATCTGTAAAAATACAGCCTGGGTATGGGCTRGCAAGATACGAAGGGTTCACTTTTATGACATATCTTTGCCCTACAGGCAGATATGTCTGAGCTGGCTCTCCAAGGGCCAGTGCTGGCAATGAAAACACAAAGGTAGCTTTAGTCCAAGAGGCCCAGCTGCCTACAAGTAGTACCTATGTTCCTRTGAGGAATGCTGGAGCAGCACTAGCATGGGAGCAGCCCTGCACAGATGGGACTGCTCTGCCTGCAGAACTGTGTATGCTCATATGCTTAAGTGCTTAATTCTTGAAAGTACAATGGAAATATTCACTGGTTTTGAGCATTCGCAGAGCTGACATATTCAATAATATGGCTTTATAGCTGTGGGAGTCTAATTAACAAAGATGCATCAGAAAAATAGTCCGATCTAAATGACAATATTTTTTCATTATTTCCATGGTACCTGTATTTATGTGAGATCAAGGGAGCTCAGATAAACTTAGAAAAGAGAAAGCTAGATGGACTGATGCAATTCAGCCTTTTTTTCCTTAATCCTAACAGTAAGGAAGGGCTTCAGGACACCCAGGTTTTGAGGCCTTTGTACAGCTTGTGCTTTGCAGAAATAATGACTTTCCATGATGAGCAATAAGATGAGTGGCAGTCAGGCTTTTCCATATCCATACTTGAAACTATCTCTTTTGAAATTAAAATACAAATATGTCACTCATTATCATCCTAATTTAGTGCTTACTGAAGTCCGTGTAAATATTCACGGTATTTATATATATATATATATATATATATATATAAATATCAGAGGATGTTAGTTCAGCCCCTACAATCCCAGATCAATGATAAAATGGTAAATGAACTGGAATAGAAGCACAACCTAGTGTGACCTACCTGTGCAATAGCAAATTGATCATAGAAAGCAGAATTTTCTAAGTTCAGTTCAAGATCTATATCCTGCAGTTCTTCACAGCTATCCAAAAAAGGCATTTGAGAGGGRAAAAAAAAGAAAGTTATTTTAGAGATTCCAAAGAGGCAAAGTAAGTGTAAAATGAAGCAACACCTTAAATGTGTTTCAAACAGTCACAATAACATACTCTRTCAAAAGATATCTAAGTGGCTCCCTAACTTTATCGAAAAGTAGGCTAAAAGAGGCATACGATTACTTAAAAATACACATGTAGTTACATCAGTGATAACATTAATCTTCCATAAAGTGGCGTTATTAAAATTATTATGAAAACAATTTCCCTAAAACCTTCTTATCCCACTTCCCAAGAGCCTCCCACATACACACAACTGGCATCACCCCAGTCTGGTCACTTCACCSCTTGATGAAACAAAGTGCACAAGCCTCCATTACCTTTTGACATCATCAGGAAAGCCTCAGAAGAAGGGATTGTGGGGGTGTTTTTGTTTCAGATGTTCTCACAAGGAGACAATACTCTGATATTGARATAGAGGCTATCTACAGATTTTACAAATAACTTGGAAATTTACAGATGTGAAAAAAAAATCCCATAATTTTGAGGTTGATTTTTTATCTCTTGGTTGATTTCTGCAGTGTCTTCTCTGTCCTTTTCAGTGCTGTCATCGTTCTTATGTGAATATTCGACTAGGCATTTTATGCAATTGAGATAAAATTTTTAACTGAATATTCAAATAATTCAATTAATTGCTGAAGCCCTAAACAGAATATTTGCTATGAYATTTTACAACATATGACAATGGGCAACATAAATGTCTACTTTATGTAGCTCTACTATTGAATATCATATGAAATAAAATGTCACCTTTTCTTCTCTTTTCATTATTTGATAGAAAATCCTATCTCATCCTATCATCCATTTCCTGCACTAAGCATAAACATCGTGGAACACAGCTTTAGCTGTATCACATGGACTAACTTAGCACCTGTACATCTTGTGTATTTTAATAACGTACCAGCTAGCTGTACTTTGTGATCATAACTTCTGAGGCTCTCAGAGTGTCCACAGCACTGCTATGAGATCAAAATCTCTGTACTCATTTTTGGATGATGGTGCATGGTGACACAGGGAGGGCAAGCGACTTGCCTCGTGTTATGCTGTGGGTCAGTAGCAGAGCCAGAACAGAAAGCCAGGAGATTCCCAGTCCTCTGGTCTGCTCACAAGACCACATTCCTTCTCTTAATAGAGCATTTCCAAATTCCTCTCCCTTGCTCACCTTGCATGTAATAATCACAGTTTGTAGCAACACTGTTCATTTGTGCATATATCAAAAGGAAGGAAGGAAGAAAGGAAGAAAGAAAGAAAGAAAGGAAGAAAGAAAGAAATTAAACATATTCTTCAATACTAACCTATTTGGCATGCTCCCTTTTTCGGTAATTGCATCACACCACATGTTAAATCCTACGCTCACTATAGTGCTAGCAATAAATGTGATAAACACCACAAAGGCGCTGATCAGCAGATTCAGGAAGGCATAAAAGAAAGAGCTGCAATAAAAGCAAAGAAAAATGTARCTCATAAACAGCTGAAACACAACATCAGCAATCTCTCTAAGCAGTATACCTTGGGCAWAGTCAAAGATAGCAGTTTCCATTTAAAACACATCTGCTTTAATTAAGAACACCTAACATCATTGAAAAACTGTGATTATGATTTTAAGTCATATTAATGTCATTTGTAAGGTCTTTTGCTTTTCATTTTTATTTTTTTACAGTAAGAKGATGAGGTTTTAAATCATGAATACTAAGCAGTAATTGTTCATACACATCATGGCTTTCATTAGCTGTAATGATGAAAATCACCATTGTTAAAATAAATGTTATTAGCTCAAATTAYATAGTAACTGGAGCTAAAATTATTTCATGACTAAAGTGATAATTGGGACAAAAATTGCCTAGAAGAAGGAAACTAAAAATAAAACAACACAGTACTGATAACTATAATCATTTTAAGCAACATAACTCATGGTACTGGCATCATAGGACACGAATTTTGGTTTTATGAGCAATTTGCAGAACAGGCCAGCTTCTCCTGGGATATCTCTAGCTTCAGTACTTTACTTTTTGCCAGATCAATGTAAAATATAATATTTATATTTTTTATATATTCATATTTTATATTATTTGTATTTTATATATATACTATATATATATAAATCATATATATATTATATATTATATGTATATTATTTATATTATTATTTTATTTATAATTTTTATTTATTTATAATTATAATATAATTATATTTAATTATATTTATATTTAGTTAATTAATTATATTTAATATTTATTTATATTTCTATAATTATGATTATAATATTTATTATATCATTTATATATTTATATAAATATATTTATATAAATATAATATCTATAAATATTTTATATTATATTTATATTATATATAAATATAATATTTCTATTATATTTTACAATATAAATCAACCCAGTTAATCTATCCTCCCAGGACCAACCGCAGGCACGTGGTTTGTATATGGGGTGGATGCTTGCAATGCTTCCAATGTTCCCATAAGACCAACCAGTTGTCCACTCATTCTCCAAATCTGATGCTACCTGAGAGTCACTAGCACTCTAGAAGGATGACCTGAGGCATCTTGAGGCTCACTGAGAGATGAACTGCTAGCTGCTTAACTCTACCCCATAATACTTGTTACTTAAAACTTTCTAAGCCTTTTATTTTTTTTCATCCATCTGCCCAAATTCTTTGCTTCACAAAACTGCTTTAAGTAGCATTTGGAAATTTTCATAATCTGAAAAATGGATCATGCTGTCATAATCCAATTATCTACACTATGTTGGAGAAAGACTGACAGTTCTAGGAGGCAGGTCATCCTATGTAAGTTAGATGGTAAAGGCAAATACAACAAATTGCCCACCAATACCCCTGTCATTATGCTGTGGGTAGAAGGATTGTCCTCAATTTGGAGAACAAAAACCTCAATCATTTATTTTCCCTGATGGCTCRTTAAATGAAAATCTTAGTGGCTTTTTGAGTAAGTGGTTGAATCCTGGGAAGGAGTAAGGTTGAACAAACCTAATTTCTACAGGTGTTACACATGGTTAAGACATATGTGACCTTGGGAGGACATCTATAAAATCAGATAAGAAACTTTTAATACTCGGACTATCATGTTTGCTCTTGGGTCAATGTGGCTACAGAGGGCACTTTCRGGATTCCCTCCTCATGGCCATTCATCCCATACCAACACCTGATACAGTGAAATAAATCACCATGGACTCGCGCCTTTACAGACTAAAGTAGGGCCTACCTCCCAGGGATATCTGACTACTGCCTGAATGCTGAGATGAATCCTGTTCTCGCCCTACAGCTTAGCTGGGCTTTGACTAGACCAGTTCATGCCTGCAGAGTGCCAGGCTCACCCATGGTGTAGCAGAAGCAGATAGTGTGTGCGAGTTATAGCTCTGCTTATTAAGTGATTCTGTGCTGATTTCACACCTAATTCGCATTTCATTCCAAGTTTTGCTAAAGCCATATCCATTGTAAGCACCTTATCATGGTATTCTGGACAGAAGGCTAGAAAAGGCTTCAGCTGTCCAAAGAGCTTAAAGAGAGTTAATATCAGAATCAATAACCGCTCTAGAAAAGGAATGTTTTCCAGAACTATTCAGTGCAATGTCATGGGCCCTTCAGGTCTTACTCTGTTTCCTACTCTGGAGCAAAAGACAGGCACTAAGGTAATTTGATCTTCCACTGATGAAGTAGAGCTCAGTGTTGCATTTGATTTACACTGGACATATAAATAATAGCAGAGATGCTGTAGGCCAGGCCATGCTAGAAAGGACAGGACGTGGTAGATAGTCAGTGCTGATCTGGCTCTCTGCCTTATATTTTTGTTTGTAACAGAATTTACCCAAAGAAGAGAGATTCAAATGTGTTAAAAGTCCCTCATTTAATTCTTCAAAGGTAAGTTTTAACGTGGAAGTAATCTTCTGCTCTATTCTGCGCTATTCTACTCTTCTGCTGCAACAAGTTTTAGGATTCAGCAGTCCAAGAGTGGTTGGAAACAGTCAGAGAAAAAATACTGCATTCAATCCCCAGTATCACCAGCATTAGATTATGATATAAACCCAGACACTGGTAAAGCTGGTAGTCTAGTTCAAATAGACCAGGAGGTAAATGACGGACTTCTACCATGGCCTTTGTAATAAGGGGAAAATGACTTTCCTTGTCCAATCACCACCAGTAATTGCTCCTGCCTTCCCACCTCTGTGTTTGGAGAGATCTGTCTAGGAGCACCCACAATCTTGGTTACGTTTACTAGCAGTTTTGCCAAGGTTATGAACAGGTCACCAGAGCACTGAACATAGAGCAAAGCTCTCCTGAGCTGCTACCTGGGCAACTAGACCTTTCAGATATTCTTGCTTGAGTCTTATGCATCTGAGTCTCGCTGAGGAAGATGAGCAACCATCAGTGCAGCCCTGCTCTTGTTGCRGAGAGCATTCAGCTTTGCACGCATGTCGTCACCAAGCGATAATCACTGTTTGCAGTAGTTGCCATGTCCACCACAAAAGCAGAGTAAAAATAGGGAGAGGGGGAATCACCACTTGCTGCTTTTTCCCCCCTTCCCCATGCAAGTGTGCTACTTCAAGGGTTTTCACACTGATCAAACAGCATCTGGTGTATGCCAGGAAGGCCTGTGTCCTTCTGCAGGGATGTGCAGCAGCGTGGGAGCACCRCGACTGAGGGCATCTGGCAGTACCTTGGAGCATGCAGTCCCACACCCCACATGGCCACCTGGGAGCATCCTCACCTCACTGACAGGCTGTGAATGACAGTTCGGAGATGTACATTGTGCATGTGGGGCGGACGGGAGCAAGGCATCCCCTCACCCCAACCCCCATCCTGGGGAGCAGCACCTCCAAATGGTGCTAAACCCAAACAAAAATACCGGGAGAGAGGAGGGGGAAAAGCTTCCAGGCCCCTGCTCACCTCTCCTTCCCCAGGCCAGCCCCCAGCCCCTTTAGGGGTACTTACTCCTCATGCCCTTTGCAGAGGAAGAAGAGGGTCCGCCAGGCCTGCACTGTGGCCAGCAGCAGGGAGAGGAGGCCGGTGAAGATGCTGAAGCGGCAGGCGGCCTCGGGCCCCCACTCCTGCACGGTGAAGCGCTGCCGCTCCACGGTGAGGTTGGCGTTGAGCCACATGCCCTCGGTGAAGAGCAGGCAGCGCCCGTGGAAGTCGTTGCCATTCTCGGAGAGCGGCACCACCACGATGAAGCTGAAGAGGAAGGCGAGGAAGTAGCAGATGCACTGAGCGAAGAGGAAATTGTTGAGCGCCATGTCCGCGGCGCTGCGCAGGCAGGGAGAGGAGGAGGAGGCGGGATGGAGAGAGGGATGCAGGGAGGGAGGGAGGCAGCCTGCAGCAGCAGYGGGTGGGCAGGGAGGATGCGCAGTGCAATGCAAAGAGATGCAATGAGATGCAAGACGCCCTCCGGGCACAGCTGTTGCCTTTCCCCTCGCCAGAGATGCCCTCTCTACCTAAATACTGAGGGCTGCAGGGGTTGGGGTGAAAAGAGAGGAAAGGCTATGGCAGGGGATCTCTTTTCATAGGGAAAATCAGTGCTGCTGTGCCCCAGTGCCCCAAGGGTTAAATAGTCAGTACCTCCCCAGCAGGGCTGGGTACCGCCTAATCCCATCGGTGTTGGTGTCACCCAGGCTGGTGCCTGTGCCTGTGCCTGTGGCAAATCCCCCCCTTCCAGGAGAAAAATAACCTCACACAGACCACTGGATCCCAGAAGGATTTGGCCCATTAAAAAATATACATATAAATAAAATATTACTGGGTGATTTTGCAAACATTAAGCATCTGTGACTCTATTCCTGCCCCAAAGGATATCCRAAACCTCCACAGCACAAAGTCTGCCGGAGTCCTGGTGTCCTCTACATCCTATGCCTCTTTCCCCCAAAACCACAGCAGAAGCCATGAATGGGAAGGAAAATAATCATTCCCAACATCTGCTCCCAGCACCTCTGTAACCCTCTGAGGTATGGGACTTCTACCCCAGCCACCCTCAAACACCAACCCAAACAGGAGCAATAAAGTATTGCTGCACAGGGACCCTGGAACCTGCAAACCCAGTGGTTTTKTTTCTAGCCCAGATAGTCCATCCCATATACAAGATATATACAAGACATGGCAAGCCAGAAAGTTCACAAGAGCTGGGATAACTTGTTGATCCCCTGTTGCCTTGGGCAGATGAAGCATGTGTGAGGTAAAGAAAATAACCCTGAGCAGGATCAGGGCAAAGAGTGGGTGGATTCCCTCTCATTGCATTTGCACCACCATCCCCAGGGCTCAGCAGTTTTCACAGTGCAATCACTCAAGTGAGGCTCCAAAATGTGGTAGGTGACCAATGCTCCCTTGGGCTAGATGTTATGCAATGGGCGTCAGAGAGGAAGCTACCAGGGGCAAAATCAACATCAGTCACCATCATCATCCACATCAAAGTCATTTTCTAATCTAATTTCCTAATAAGATCCAGTCTGAGCTCAATTGCAGGTCTTGCATCACTTCTTAATTCCAGATCTACTTCTACTCATTTAATTCCCAGATAGTGTTTAAAGGAGAAGAGGACATTAATACAACTTCTTTTTAAATTATTTCCAATGATTCTTATCATGAAATCTTTATCTGTACAGAGAAATATTTTTTGTTTAGATCCTGCTTCTTGAATAGAAACTTTTGTCAGGATACCCCTGTCTGATGAAATGTGGCAGGCCATTTTTCTGATCCTTTCCTAACTCCGATCATCAAAGATTGTATTTCAGTTTTGCAAGATGAGTCATAGAGCACTGGCCTGACCCTGTAAGAACAGACATGCATCCTAATAGAAAAGATATTGCAGATGTTTTGGAGTCCAGTATTAAGGAGGAAAGATTGTTGCTCTTAACCCTACTTCCAAGCCAGGTTCTCAAAAGATTTTGTCCTGTATCTAGCCGGATATCATATCTGGACTGAGATGGAAAATTCTTTTCTTTGAAACTTGACACAAGGGATTTGCCAGATGACAGTTTCTGAAGTTAACTTGGGAGGTCAACACAAACATAAAAGCTGAATTTTTGCTTACAGCATAGCCCACAGAAGAGACCAGAAGATGCCCAGGGCACCTTGCCTGGGGAAAGCCCAGTGTTCATATATTACCAGCAGCAGCTATAGGTTTCTGCTGCAGGACACCTGCAGGGTTGAAAAGGGGGGGTCACTTATAGATCATGTAGAGTTGTCTTTCMTCCTGAACAAGCTCAAAGCAGTATTTATCTGAGAGTTGCATAGGATGCATATAGGCATTTGCAGTTGTTTGCAGACTTGTAGAACATAGCTGCTGCACTCAGGTGACTATCAGTCCCTAATGTGCAGTCCTGGGCTGGGTGGAGAAAGCACACACAAGTGCACAGAGTGGGGTCCAAACTTGGCACCTCTCACTCATTCCACAGCCAATGATATTTCTCATGCTCTTCTCTCATGTAAACCATCACACTGAACATTTTTACTGGAATACAATTGGCGATGTTGTGAAAAATAAATAAATACATACATACATACATACATACATACATACATACATAAACAAATAGGATTAGTCTCCTTGAAATGGCACAACTAGGGAAAACATGATATGACAGAGGTCCATAAAACCAAGACAAGGTCTTGATCAAGACAGCTCATCCTTCCTCATGTCACAGGGAATACAGTACATAAATAAACAGATCACAGAGAAATTTTGAAACAAAAAGATGAACATCTTTTTCATAGCACATAATTAATCTATGTGCAATTARTGTTTGAACTCCACACAGAGCCCCCAAAATAAACATCAGAAATGAAGATTAGATTAGTTAATGGGAGAAAAAATAACACTAGCCAGTGCTACTGAATGCACAGCGAGGGAAGAAACTTCAGCTCAGGAGGTCCCAAAACAGCAGACTGCTGGTTGGGATCTCCATCARTTTGCTGCCTTTGTGTGAGAGCCTGCAGGCCATGCACCCAAGGGGACCCTGTACTGATGTTAGATGAGAGATGAGTTGCACATCAGTACAGAGGACAGTGTCCAAAGACTATAAACTCTATTTGTCTGGAAAGAAAATTCACAGAAACACAGCAGGCTGCAAGATCCATTGCTATTGCCACCTTACAGGTAAGCAGAAAAGCAACATGGATAAATCAGGATTATATACCAGATTTGCAAGATTTCCTCTCTGTCTCATATCTCCATCTTGCCGTCTGTCTAAGCCTCTGTGGATCAAGTAACACTATAAGCTGGACTGACATAGGATGACTGATGAGAGCTGTGATTTTGACTGTACCGCTCCATGCTCCCACTCAAGCCATTAATTACTCCACTTGCCACGAGCAGTGCTCTCAAGTTGATATTTGTGAGGCAAGTGATGAATTTCCTCTCCTCCTGATAGCTCATTAGGACATGTTTTATTATGGGAAAATTTGCTGAGGAGTTAATTATTCAGGCAAAGACTTTTTTGTGAGCAACTTCATTTATTTATATATTACTTTTCCTTCGGCTATATCATTTCTACCGTCCAAGAAAAATAATGTCTGTCTGCTTTGAAGAAGGCTACCATCTTGGTGTCGGTGATGTATTGCTCAGTCTCTGGGGAGAGGTTCTGCAATACCTGTGCAGAAGGCTGCCTAGGGAGCAGCCTGTCTGTGCTCCGGACAAAAAGATCTGATCGGAATAGCTGCTTTGGAGCCAGCCTATCTGTCACTTGAAGCCAGCTTCTCTTCTCCCGCTCTACTGGAGCCAAATGGATGCTGGGGCCCATTTTATCAAATGCTTTAGCAAATGCAGCTTGTCCATTAAATATGCCAACTCATCTCCAGGAACCAGTCTGTTTTATTATTATATTAATCTATTATCATTATTCCACAAGTCTTGACCTTTATTTGTTCGCTGAGACTGATAGAAAGGACAGAAGTATACCATAAACACTGCCTTCGGGGAGARGTTTCTCATGATAATTACTATATTTAAGAAGGTGGCTGCCACTAGTTCTGAGGGGTTACAGATGAAGTACCTAATTGTCAGCCGTCTGTYGCATCCACATTTCTTCACAGCTGCTACAGCATCATGAATCTCTTAGAGCATCTCATCTGGGAACATCTTGACATTTTGCTTTCTTTTTGTGCAAACATTTTTAAATTTTCTTCTTTTTTTTTTTCAAAGAGAGCTTTCTTGTCTGAAAGGAGATTATGGGCAGTGAAGGTGCCATGTTGATAGACATTAATGGAGCAATTCTATGGAAGCAACTGAGTGTCATTAATGCATCCAAATACAATAGCCCCTGAATTTTGAAGTCCTCATAAAAAGCAAACACACAATTCTGCTTGCATTCTCAATTGAACAAGGTTGTTCTGTGGTGAAAACATAAATTAAAATACATTAAAAAAAAGAAAAAAAAAAGATGCTTGAGCTTTTCAGAGCATTAACTCTAAGCTGTGAGCAATCAGTGCATGTAAAACTTCATGCAGCATTGTACAGCCTACTAGAGCTATAGCAGCTAGAAGGGTAGTAGTCCCAAAATTGCACATTATTTGCTCACTTCCTCTCCTGTGCTCTTTGATGAGTCAGAGATAATGGCAAGGGAAATATGAACTCCACCAAACCTGTGACCTCAGAATTTACATTTGGCTGCATTGCACAGATGAAGATTGGGCCAAAAAAGCAAACTTCGGAGATTGCTTAACAAAATAGAAATAATGAAAGGGAGGAAAAAGACGAGAAAAAAAAAAAAGATCAGTGAATTGCAAACCTACAGAATATAAGCAATCAAAATGCAGACAGGTTAGTAATGCAACTCTGCAGCACTTGGGATCAAAATGGGTCATGGTATGGGTCACATCTGCAGCTTAACCCGTGACCTGCAAAGCCTGCAGCCTCATGAGCCCCTAAGGCCAGGCAGGCAATGAGCACTGATACTTCTGACAACACGAGATCTGCTCAAACCGCTGCACTCCAGTGCACAAATTTTCCCTGTTTGGAGACATTAAGCCTCCAAACCCCCTTGCATGTCTATAAAGGTGTTTGTCCCAGTGTTCTTTTCTGTGCCAAACACATTTTCTTCCCCCAGAAAGTTACTTGGACACCCTAATTTCCTTGATAAGGAGCAGCTATTCTAGCTATTCTGTGCTGTGTTGGATGTAGGAGTGCAGAATCAGGACCCAAGCTGGTGTAATGGGGCTCAGTCCCATTAATGCAGGTTAAAATACAAGGAATGACAGCAAAAGGGAGTCCCACTCCCCGAGCCTGATGTAGGGGCTGCCAAGTGAGCTCAATGTTGCTGCTTCTGAAAATGTTCTTTCTGCAAATACCGCTTGTGTTTTTTCCCCAAGATCCT